TAGGCTGATGTACTTTCTTACACCCTAGAGCGTGCTGGGGTTTCCCAGACTGTTGACTCCCTTGACTGTTCCAGGTAGGTGTTCCGTCCTTTTGCTTTTATTTGAGATGCCACCTGCTCAGAGAGCCCTCTCAGACCAGCCCCCCGTAGCAGCGCTTTGCCTTGTATTTACTTAGGGACACGTAGACATCTGTGATGATTTTGTCTCGTCTGATCTGTACTTGAGTGTTGTAGGCTCTGTGAGGGCAGAAGCACGTCTGCTCTGTTTACTGCTTTACCCCACATTGCCTGGCATGTGCAGGAAAACCATTTGATGAATGAGTAAGGCACACAGGCAACTCTCTCGTGGCAGAAATACATGGTGATTGTGGCAGTTACATGCAGGGTGAGTCCAGGAGGCATTTGGGAATGTGGATTGGAGCGCCAAAGAAGAGGCTAGGACTGCAAGTGCAGGTTGGGAATTGATCTGTTTTGATCTGGTGATTGCAAGAGGTTGGAGTGGATTGAAGTAGGAGGAGTTTATTTGAGAGAAGATCCAAGGGTAAAACTTCTGGGGAAGACAAACATTTGGGGATAAAACAGTAGAAGGCAGAAAGCCAAGAGAAGCAGCGGGAAACTGGAGAGAACTAGGAGACTATTGTTAAAGAAGCCAAGGGGTGGTCAGAAGCTGTGAGTGCTGTACAGAGATTGGGGTGGGAGGGGTGGGGGCATTAAGAGGCAGCGGTGATTGTGTAGATGTTGCTGATGACTTTGAAAGTTTTGTGTCAGTCATCTGGTTGCGGGAACCAGATTGTAGTGGGTTGTGGTGTGATTGGAGGGCAAGGAAGTGGAGGAAGTGTGGGCTACCATTCTGAGAAATTCTGTGGCAAAATCAGAGGGTGATGGGGCAGTTACCGTGCTTGCACAGGGTCGGCTGTTAGAGGAGTTAGAAGAGCCAGGGCATGGTACTTAATCATAGAGAAGTAGGTATACAGGTCTGGAAGTAGGTATTGCCGTGTAGACACGGATGCTTTGGAGACATTCAGAGGCTGCCATCCCTTTCTGCCTGGGTAGTGAGAATGGTGCGCAGCGCTGCCCTTCTCACACTGTCTCCGGTGAACGGCCAGTTGGGAAAAATGGTTCCTCCCCGCTGCTGTGGAATGATACTTTTGCTAAATGTAATTTAAAAAACCCAACTCTTAGAAAAATGATCATACTCTTGGATATTGTGGCAATGTCAAATTACCGTAAAAGTTTCTGAATGCTCGTTTTCAAATTTTGTATCTCGTTGTAGGCTGGTGACGGTTGGTGGACGTTCTCAGGCTGCACGTCTCTGCGTAGCGCTAATGTAGTGGGGAAGGGAGCGGCAGATTGAGGTATTTTTCACAAGTGCTCCTGACTTCCCAGATAGGCTCGTGAATTCCAGGGGAAGAGCCCAGTAGGAGATGCTTGCCTCCTAAAAACACAGACTCTGCTTTTATATTTTTACAGAAAAAAATACAGACTCTACTTTTATAAATGTCAAGTGTTGTAAAGGAGTCCGTAGTCTTGAATAAGATGTTTGCCGTTGTCCCTTCTGCTAATACTTAAAATTATTTGAAGTAAAGGAAAACTGTTCAAACACATTAACAGTTAAAATCTGAGGACCGTTAAATATGAGAAGTCCTCGAATATGAGAACTATTACCAGTCAGTTCTAAAGCCAGGAAGTGGTTAAGAACATATTTCATGAGAATTTAGAGCAGTATGAGAAAATGTTAATGAATGCTATCTTATGTTCAACATTATAAATGGTAAGTGAAAAATCTGAAATTGCATTTTGGTCTGATGAGAGCCGGGTTAAAAGTATTGCATGTATATTTTATTTGTCAGGACATTTTCAGTTCTAGGTGGCAGAAACACAAGTCAGGCCAGCTTCAACACAGAGTGGGATTTACTGGTTTCTGAAGAAGTGGGGGGCTGCTGAGGTGAACCTGGCATCCAGGGACTCCTCCGTCAGCATGCAGTCACGACTTGTTCTCAGGATGAGAACTGGCTAAACTGGGGAGGTGGGGCGGAGAAGTCCTTTAGTGTAAGCCCGCCTGTGTCAGAGCCCGAGCCAGAAAAGGGGAAGTACCTGGCCCCCGCTCTCACGGCTCCTCAGGACGACGGCAGTGGTTTGAACGCAGGTTCCCTGTGCTTGGCCATGGTAGGACTTCTGCTTCTCTGCCCCGGTGAGTGTATAAAACCTTCCAGACCCACGGGGATCTAAAGCAGGGACGCCATTATTTAAATTTGACATTTTAGTACAGATCTTTTGCTCACAGATTTCAAAGGATTTAAATTGAAGAATTCTCTTCATGCTCATTAGCATTCAGTTGCTATTTATAGTTTTACAGCAGCTCACTTATTTTCAAAAGGGACTAATTTCACTCATTCTCCCTACTTTTGGGCAATATGAAGAATAAAATCAATCATTGTATTATTAAAATTAATAGCACCTAATAACCAAAGAGTGGAATGAGTGTGTCTTCCTTGATTCTGTGTTGTAATTAGGGATTAAACATGTATGTTTACTCTTACTTGGACAGTAGTGTCCATTTCTTTAGGGTGTAAATATTTAACTGGGGGGGGGGGTAAGGGGACTCACCATACAGTTCTGGTACACTATAATAGTTAGCTCCTTTAGTCTGTTGCCTGAAACATGTGGGCTGTTTGTTAGGTCATAGAGATCATTTGATACAGAGAATTATTGTGTATTGACATTTAGCCATGGATTTGACCTGGACTAAGTTTCTGGAGAATTGTAGTCCTGTGAGAATGTGTAATGTACTCTTACTTTCCATAAGAAATATACGGACTTTTGAATATGCCTAAGACATGTTTAATACACAAAGTCTAAATTATAAGCACAGCACGAAATCTTTTTTTTTCAGTTCTGGGTCTGAAGAAGCCCAGGCTTTGTTCTCTTTTGCTACAAGATTTCCTTCAATTAATGCAGTGGTAAGGAAGGTGGCAGGTGAGTGACCCATTGTCTTCTGTAATAGATCTCTGAACTCATTGTCCTCTTAAAATGTGGATGTAAATTGGGTTACAACTGGTTTGACATTGATAAAAATATATACAGTTGTAGCTCCTCTTTATGTGGCGGTTCCTACTGGCTGTCTTATGATCTCTTTATTGTCTTAAGCGCAAGTTGAAACAAATTTCATTTTTGTAGGAAAAAGTATTTCCAAAAGGATTGGTTAGCCAGGGAAACTATAAACTACCTAACCCAAGACTTTGGTAAGAAAGAGATTTGATGCTTCTTATAAATTCCTCCTTGCAAGAGAAATAATACTTATGTAACAAGAAACAGTTTACCCATTCTCAGCCATTAACCAGTTACCTGGTTTTAAGTCTACACAATTAGGATTTAAAATGTATCCTATAGAGACCTGATAAGAACATGAGACACCAGGGTGGCTTGTCCTTAGACTTAGGAATTACTGACTTGAGGAACTTTGATTTTCATGGGTTGAAAATAAGTATGCCTCTAGATGGCCAAGAATAGTGTTGCACAAGTGGGCAGATTCTATATCAAGATTTTCTGTCCTAATTAAACTTCTTAACTTCTTTATATTCTCCTTTGTGGGGCAAGATAGCAATTCATTTAAGGGTTACAAAAATAATATTGGAAACAACTCAAAAGTTCCAGAAGACTCAGGGATGTGGTAATAATGGTCCCTCTCAAATGAGGGAGCAAAAACCGTATCTTTTGCTGAATGTGATTCAGGTGGATCACTGGAAAGGGCCCAACGTTCTGAACACTTTTAATTAGTTTAAAAACACGGAAGACCGACCCAAATGAGTTTTTTATTGAAGATTCAGGGCTATATCATATATATGTTGTGTTTGCAAATATTCTGATGTGTTGAATGCAAATTCTTAAAGTAGTGTATTCAAAAACATTGTATACATCTCATCCATGATACATATTTGGATTAAGCATAATGAAAACCTGCAACAGAAATGAAACAGTTTTAACAATAAATGAAGGAGTAAAAACTGCTGCTGTACTCAGTTCAGTAAAATGTCTTCTTACACGAATTCTTGGTAGTCAGAATCCCTGAATTTGATGCTTTTGAGTGCTTGGAAGGGGATGGAAAACCATGGCCTTGAGAGCCCTGGTGTGGAGAGCCCAGGTAAAGTTTGGCTTTCCCCCAATTTTCCTACCCGGCCCGATTCTGTAATACTCCTTTCTCCCTCAATCTGTTTTGCTTGGTCTCTGAAACACTTTTCCCTTTACGTATAAAAAAACTTTGATTTTAAAAAAAACCCTATAAAGTATAGATAGTATTTTTGTTCGAACAGTGGCTTGGTGGGATATGGGCAGACATAACTAAACGGTGTTTTCTTGGTAGAACTGGTTTGAAAACTTAAAAGTCTAGATAATGTGTCAGAAGATTTTAAAAGCGCAGGCTTGGGACTGCTAGAGAGGCCAGTTTTGCTGCCTTGGCGTTGGTTCTAGTAAGTATGGGATGTCAGAAGGTTTATAGGGCTGGCTTCCCAGGAGAATCGTGGCCAAAAAAAGCCAGGGAAAAACACTTTCTAGACTTAGTGCCTTTTAGCTCAGGTGTAAGAACCGGTGACCTTATGTCCCGGTAAAGCGGCCATCATTTCCTTTCTCTGGGCTTTGGGCACCACTATTGGGAGGGGAGGTAAAGGTATTCAGAACTTCAGAATTTCTGAAAGAAAAGCCATCCTCTATCAGGGCTCTTCACGTCTACCAGCTCTGTTTTCCTCACGTGGAGACTCAACAAAGGACCTAAAGTTCCACTAAATGAAAGGACACGGGCAAACGGGAGGTTCCTACACGAACGAGCAGGCTGAAGGTGAGGAGAGGAATCTGCGCTCTCTCTACCAGAGCAGGATGGTCTCCTCCCTGCTGTACCCTCGCTGTACCCCGAGGCCGAGGCATGGGAGTCCCTTCCCGCCCCAGCTGCCTCTCCCTGTGGAGGAGGCCAGGCCTCCTTGTGCTGCCCCGGTGGATGCTCCAGAGGGACACATTTCCGTTGAGGACAGGGGTTGCTGACACGTCTTCTGTGCTGGAGGAGGGCCAGCAGGGGAGGAGGGAGCCCCACGCAGCCTGTGCCTACCAAGCCATGGACAGAAAGGAGGTCCCCGGCCTCCACAAGACTACTGGGCAAACCAGACTGCAGAAATGAAGACTAGTGGATACGATTTAAATTGCCTTAAACAACAAGCAAACAGACACTCCAGCCATCGGCGACTGTGCAGATCTAGGGTGCAGCCCTGGACCACTTAGACCCTGGCTAACAAGGGTGCACATTGCACGCTCTGATCTCCTTCTTGTCCTTGCAGCTGCTAAACTGGGAGCTTTTGAACCTCTTCTTGACAGTCATGTAGCGTTCCTGGATCCCGCCGCCACACAGTTTGGTGCACTCTGACCAGGCTGTCCACGGGCGCATCCTACAGCCTGGAAGCATGGGAAAGCCCAGTTAGGGCAGCAGAAATTGGGAGACCATGCCGAATGCTCAACGCCAGTACACAGCTGTCAAATTGAGGGGTCTGGGCTTCCCTGCTCTTGAGTGAAATGATGGGTTGAGTTAAACAGTGGTTAGAGGCCTACGAGGGACTGTCAGCCTCTCTGTGACAGACTGCCAGAAATGACCGTAAATGCTTTGCAGCGTTTCCCATCAAGGGGCAGGAGTCCACATCTCCACCTCTAGAGTCGGGGCTGGGCTATGGGATTTGCTTTGGCCCATGGGACATGAGCAAACAGGACTTGAAAAAAAGCTACTGGGAACACTTCCACCACCATGTAAACAAGCCTGGCTAGAATGCTGGAGAGGCCAAGTGGAGAGAGGCTCCGGGCAGCCCTTTGGAGGCCCTAGGAGTGCAGGTCCGGTTGCAGGTGAGGCTGGTCTAGACCTTCCAGCTGACAGGAGCTTCATGGGTCTCAGCAAGACCTCAGAAGATTGTCCAGCTGAGCCAGCCCAAGTCACTGACCCACAGAATCATAGTAGTGATTTTTCTGGGGTGGCTTGTGGATGCAATTAACCACTTTCTCCTAATGCTTTGTTCCCTCTGTACTTGGCCTCCTAAATGCCAAGTAAACTCAAATATAATTTATTATTTCCCCTACACAGATAAATATGCCTGCCTTAAAGAAAACCGACTGAGCTACCCAAGCGCCCCAGGGAAGTTAAGTGTCTGACTCTTGAAATTGGCTCAGGTCATGATCTCAGGGTCATGAGATTGAGCCCTGCATCAGGCTCTGTGCTCAGCGGGGAGTCTGCTTGAGCTGCTCTCCCACCGAGCTGCACCCCTGCCTTCCCGCTTGCTCGTGTGTGTTCTCTTGTGCTCTTGCTAAAACAAAAACACCTTCCCTGACTCCCAGAGGTTAGATCTTAAAAAAAAAAAAAGTTTCCATGGCCCTCTAGGTTACTCTTGTACAACCAAGCACATTTATGCTTATCCATTCAATACTATGCTAAATTTCCTGGAGAAGACCATGGCACAGTGCCTGCTTGGCACATAGTTGGGCTTAATGAACGTTTGTTGAGTGGCTGATTACTGTCCAACAGACAACAGTTTGATATGTGCACAGCTCCTTAACAGAAAGGTAGTGGAGCATTTCCTAGGTGGAAGTGAAATGTCTTGAGAAAAAGGTGTAACTTGAGCTGTGTTTGTTTGTTTGTTTTTTTTTTTTAAAGATTTTATTTATTTGACAGAGACAACAGAGACAGGGAACACAAGCAGGGGGAGTGGGAGAGGGAGAGGGAGAAGCAGGCTTCCTGCCAAGCAGGGAGGCTGATGTGGGGCTCGATCCCAGGACCCTGGAACCATGACCTGAGCTGAAGGCAGATGCTTAACGACTGAGGCACCCAGGCGCCCTGAGCTGTGCCTTTTAAAATAGAAACTCAGCATACCCATTAACCTTCAGTTTTACCTGGTATCTTCCTCATCCACTCCAGGGAATCTAAACACCATCGATCAGTCTGTACCCAGGACTGAACCATGAATCTTTCCAACTCATTTCATCTGTTTGTCAATGAGAGTGCAGTCCTTGCCTCTGGATCAGCTTATTCAACAGTGAAGCCCCAGTCTTTTTTTTTTTTTTTTAAATGCTGGAGTAGGGGACACAAATTTTCCTGGGCTACCAACCGAATTGGCCTTTGTGCCTCTTTGCCACCTCCAAACCACTCAACACAGGTCAGTTAAAGTCCCTCTTGCTTTGAGCCGCCTTGCACAATCAAGTCTCAATCTTCAGCAGGCCACTGGACTTTTTATGGTCTGGTGGTACCCGCCCCCCCCCCCCCCCCGCCTGGTTTCCTGCCACTTCTCTTGGGCTCTGCTCCATCTGCCTCTGTTTCATTGACTATCTCTCGTGCTCTTGGGCACTTCTCTGCCTTTGCAAGTACTGTTCCTGCTGCCTGGGATGCAAACCCCTATCACTTCAAGACCCACTCTCACTTCCCCTGCTTTGACATTGCCCTGCACTCCAGCCTCCGGTTTAGGAGCAATACCTGGGAACTGCTCGCCATCAGACTCTTCCCGCAGCTGGTCACTCCTCCGGCTCTCTCGGGCCTCCCTCCAGCGCAGCTTCTGGATGGATGGATTTTTCAGACATTTCCGGATGCGGCACTTTTTCCGCTGCACAGTCTCTGGGCAGGGTGCACCTCCAAACTGAGGCTCCATTTCGATCATCCGGGTTCGAATCATGTGGCCTTTCCCACAGGACTTGTTACACGCTGACCATTGGGACCACTCGGTGAGCTCACAGTCAACGGCTGGCGAGACACAGATGGGCATGAGTGTAGCTCATTCCTGTCTGAGATAGATAGCATATGGCCCCTTTACATTTTACTTTGAGCATCTCAACCCAAGCCTGTGAGAAATGCAAAGAAGGTGCTGTTATCCCATTTTACAGAAGAAACTGAGGCTTCCAGAGGCAGATGGACTTCATCCAGCCTGCACGGTTGGTGAGCCGTAGAGGCAGGATTGGTGCCCAGGTCTTCATTGACATTTTATGCCCACATGACAGAGTGCTTTGGGGGGAACTTGGAAGATACTTTCAGAGCCCTCCTGCCTTGCCTTGTAGCTAGAGTATTGTCAAATCAGCCTCTGGTGGCATAGAATAGCCTTCCACAGCCCCAAGGACTTGGATTTTCTCAGGGAAGGCACAACTCACTGGTGCTTTCACAGCTGACCCCAGTGGACCAGTACCCAAGGCCATCGTGACCTCTGCAGTAAGACCCCATAGCTTCTCTTGTTCGCCATCCTCCTGGGTCCGATATGTGGCTGTTTGTGCAAAAAACATAGGAGCTGGAAATGGGAAATTCAGTAGAGAAAAAGAGTGAGAACAAATGGTGTCTTACGGCTTATCAGGGTTACAGGATCCAGCAAATTCTTGTTACTAAGCCAGCATCTCACAAATGTAGAGGGGAAATAACCCAACAGTCTGATTCTCAGGCTGTGACCTAAGGAGGCAAAGACTCCTCGCTGGCTTTGCAGAGTGTAGATCCAGGCTGGATCTAGGAAGAACTCATTTTGGTAAGTAGTTTTGGGCCTTTCTCCCTGTAAGCTCAGGTAGCTTTTTTATCTGTAAAATGGCGATAATGGTATTTTTTGTATTAGGTTGTGAGGATTAGGGGAAATGCGTCCAGCCCAGTTTCCGGCGCACAGTAAATGTTCATCTTCTCCATTCAATGGACCCTGTGAATGTATGTTTACATGGGTAGCTATCTCGGTCAGAAGTTCTGGAGCCCCAACTCTGGTGAGCTGGGTTGCACACAGGGTCGATCTTAGTTATTAAAACCTCAGGTTCAGTTTGATAGTCTGGGTGTTCTCCACACATGACTGAGTCCAGCTGGACCCGCTCGGGAACTGTAATGTGGAACATCAAGTGAGGCCTATGCTTGTCAGGTCTAGTGCTTGACACGTTGTGCCAATTACATGGTTTAATCCACAGAGCAACCTAGGAAGTGTGTCCTGCTGTTGTACAGATGTGGAACAGGGATGCTAAGTTATCTGCTGAAAGTTGTGCAGCCTGTAAGGGACAAAACGGGGATTTGAACCCAGGGAGGCAGCCTGAGTAATAACAAGGAAGAGGGAACACGAAAGACCAAGTGCTTTTCAGGGGAAGCCAGAAAACAGATCCTAGCAAGCGAGTCTGACTTTCTACCTCCTAAAAGGGAAGCTTGCTTGGAAGACTAGCCAGAACAATGGGCTCTCTCCTTGGAGGTTAGTACCTGCAAAATACAGCTCATCACAGGGGTGGGGTCGGGTGGGTGGGGGGAGTTGGGGTCAGGCATTGAGCCTTTCATGGTTTGGCTTAGCAAGGCTGCAAATATACAGGAGTCACTGATGTAATGTCCACCCTCTGGTCAGGGGTAAATGGTCCCAGGGAGAAGGAATAGAAGTAAAAAGCAAGGAAAACCCATGGATCAGACAGTTGCGGGGGTTGCGGGGAGGGCAAGCCCTACGTGATCAGGCGTCTTGAGCCTGTGCTGAGTGTTTTCCATTCTAGTCTCCTCTTTGGACTTCATAGCAACGTGCAGTTGGGGTGTTTTGTAGCTGATAGTGGGATCCCCTCTTGCTACTGAGGAGATTGAGAGTTCAATAGCTTTGCTGACACCGAGATCCAGAGCCCACGCGCTTTCTTCCCAGCAGACAGCTCTACTACAGGACCTGGCAGTAGGACCCCCACCCAGTACTGGGTAAGAGGAGAATGGGGGTGGGAGTTGGGGGGCACCGGGAGCCCCAGGACTTACGGCATTCAGGCAGCATGCACTTTTCCACCTGCTCCAGCTCCTCATTACAGTCCCCGAGTTCGGCCAGAGACTTGAGCATCCGCTGGCGGGTCCGCATGCCCTTCCCACAGGTCACACTGCAGTCACTCCACTCCGACCATGCTGACAGCAAGCAGGGGATGGTATCTAGGCCAAGAGCCAGGTTTGCCTCTGAGAACAGGCTCCTTTTACTTTCTCTGTTCTCCTTTTTCCCCCTACCCCCTGTCCCCAACTCTGGCCCCTGGAATCAAGTGAAATGGACCGATGGCTTCAGAAAACCCAAGGGACCCCACGGAGCAAGAACTGGCTCAGCAGAGTACTGCTCTTGTCACTCTCCTGCATCTCCCCTGGGGCTCAGGACATCAGATTAATTCAGTAATATGAATACCCAAGTCCCCACTTGAAACACCACCCACTCCCCAAGAATTGTGCAATATAGTTTTGGACACTTGGTGAAATCCTAGAATGTCCATGTACTTGTGTGCATATGTATGCTTGTATACTGATGTGTGGGCCTTTGTACATTTGTGCATAGAGCTGGGGTTGTAATGCGTTATGAGGCCAGGCAAGTCCCATGCAGAACAAGAGTGGGGACCTATGACCTGTGGACTGGATGTCCTGCCTGAATGTTACTATACCACCCCTCCCCCCACCCCGACAACCAAGAAAATCTGGGGTCCCATAAAACACAGCTGCAGGTAAATGCTTTCCAGAGGCCAGGAGTTTGCCATCTCAGCACTGCTCAGAATGTCCCTCAAGGGAGGCCCCTCTGGGTCTGCTTGATGGCCCTTATCTTGCAAGGACAGTGGCCATATTTCCTCCCAGCACCCACTCAGCCTCCGGCCTTGTTGCTGGGGGATAGGAAGGGTGCTGGGATCCTCCACACCGCCCCCATCCCCTGCCCCACGCCCACTCACGACACTCGGGCATCATGCACTTCTCTGCCTGGGATGTCTCGGCCTTGCACATGGAGCCGTCCGCTGGGCTCATCTTGACCATGCGGTGCCGCTTCTTCATGCCCATCCCGCAGGTGGCGCTGCACTCATCCCACTCACCCCACTCGGTCACCAGGCAGCTGCTGGGAGCTGGAAGGCCAGCCCTGTTGGAATCGCGTCTACGGCCTCGGCGCCCCCACCCCCCGCACTTGCTGGGCGCCCCTACTCACAGCACTCCTCGTTGACTGTGCACTTCTCCGTCTCCTCGGTGGGCAGCGTGCACACAGAGCCATCCTCAGGGAACTGCTTCACATACCTCTCCCGGGACCGCATGCCCATGCCACAGGAGATGCTGCAGGGTGACCAGGTGATCCACTCGGACATGGTGCAGGTGGAGCCGTCTGCAACACACGAGCAGACGCTGTGGCCTGTGCGCCCAGCTCCCCAGTGCAGGGATCGAGAAGGAATGGGCTGGCTTTTCCATTGCGTATTCTTGCCTCTTTTGTCCAAGATTAATTCCCCATATAGTGAGTTTGTTTCTGGGTTTTCTGCTCTGTTCCACTGATCTATAGGTCTATTTTTGTGCTAGGACATGGTTTTGAAGGGGAAAAAGTTTCTTCAACAAATGGTGTTGGGAAACTGAACAGCTACATGCAAAAGAATGGAACTGGACCCTTTTCTTAGACCATACACAAACACTCAAAATGGATTAGGGACCTAAATGCGACACCTGAAACCATAAAAATACAAAAAGAGAGGACAGGCAGTAATTTCTGATAATCACTGTAGCAACACTTTTCTAGATAGGTCTCCTGAGGCAAGAATTAAGAGCAAAAATAAACTATTGGGACATCAAAATAGAAGCTTCTGCACAGCAAGGCAAACAACAAAACCAAAAGGCAAATGGGAAAAAATATTTGCAAATGACCTCTCTGATAAAAGGTTAGTATCCAAAATATATAAAAAACATAAAACACCCCCCAAAATTAACAAATGGCCAGGAGACATGCACAGACATTTCTCCAAAGAAAACCTACAGATGGCCAACAGACCCATGAAAAGATGTTCAACATCACTTATCAGGGAAATGCAAATCAAAACTACAATGAGCTATTAACCTCACACCTGTCAGAATGGCTAAAATAAAAAAACACAAGAAACAAGTGTTGACAAGGATGTGGAGGAAAAGGGAACCCTTGCGCACTGTTGGTGGGAATGCAAACTGGTACAGCCATTCTGGAAAACAGTATGGAGGCTCCTGAGCAAGAAATATCGTATGATCCAGTAATCACACTACTGGGTATTTACCCAAATAAAAACCCACTAATCTGAAAGGATATATGCACTCCTATATGTACTGTAGCATTATTTACAATAGCCAAATTATGGAAGCAACCCACGTGTCCATCACTTGGTGAATGGATGAAGAAGATGTGGCATATGCATGTAATGGAATATTCTTCAGCCATAAGACAGAAGGAAACCTTGTCAGTTCCAAAAACATGGATGGAGCTAGGGAGTATAATGCTAAACAAAATAAGACAAATCCCAGAGAATTTCACTTAATGTGAATTTCAGAAACAAAAACGAAAAAAAGTCTTACTTGGTTTATCTCTTAACCTTAGAGAAACTGGTGGTCACCAGAGGAGAAGGGGGATGGGAGAAACAGGTGCAGGGGACTAAGTACAGTTACCACGATGAGCACTGAGTAATGCACAGAATCACTGAATCACAATATTGTACACCTGAAACTGACTGTATGTTAAATATCCTGGAATTAAACCTAAAAAAAAAAAAAGGAACTGGGTAGCATTCATGGGGAGTTAGGCAGTTGATGGAAACTTAAAAGGTATACATCTTGAAACCAGGAATTGTTCTTGAAGAGGAAGTGCCTGTTTTCCAGGTGCATGGGGCACTCAGGATTAGGCCTTATTCCATGACAATGCATTTGAAAGCTGCTTGGGTGGGTAGAATGTTTTATTTATACATAAAGTAAAATTTAGGATAAATCATAATCTAAAGGCATACATCTGTATGGTCTAGGATGTATCCTATATCTAAGACCATTAAATAAAATGAAAAATACACTTCCTCAGTCACTAACTACATTTTAAGTACACAGTAGCTATGTGTGATTAGTGGCTACCATTTTGGACAGTACAGATACAGAACTTTCCCATCACAGAAACTTCTTCTGGACAGTGCTGAAAAGATATATATATATATTCTGAGATACAGTATAAGCTCTTTTGCTCAGAGGAACCAGAGATTTTATAGTTCTTGTCTAAAGCTGCTAGTTCCCAGTCTAGAAAAATTGATGAGAATTTGGTTCCTGGGGGTGAAGACTGACTGGCCTTCGGACATAGGGACCTGAGGATGGACACAGGATGGATTTATACCCAAACAGCAGACTATACTCCCGTGACCCCAGCCCTCTTATTGCCTCTACTGAGGCTGGCTACAATGGGGAGCGGATGGTGGGGTGGGGAGGGAATGTGTGTGTGTGCTAGAGGAGGGGACATAGAGGAAGAATGAGGAAGGCCGTATAACCAGCCTTCTCTGTTGATACCTTGGGCTCTATATGGCTTTGCTCCTATCACTAGGTGTTAGCAAAGGCCATGATCATATAGGAGACACTCTGGAGGTTGTTGGAAAAGATAAAGCTCTCAGCATGGCTTGGTAGTCCTGTTTCCAAGTAGTGGTGGGGGTGCTATTCCTGGTGGAAACACAGGGAGGGTATGTGTGTGATTGTCTGTGATTGTGTGTGTGTGTGTGTGTGTGTGTGTGTGCGCGCGCACATACTTAGTTCTTTAAGAGGGCAGTGAAGTCTTCCAGCTATCCATTTACTCATACCAATAAAGATTTACTGAATGCTTTGAATGCTTCATGGTATGCTTGAAGTTAAAAAGATGTGTAAGATCTGGATCTTGCTCTACTTTAGAAAGAGATGGGCACAATAATTCCAGGTATCAAAAGTATGCAACAGAGGTAAGCCCAGGGAATTGAGCATAGAAGAGGAAAAAAACTCACTCCTTGGAGTTTGGGGGAAGATTTCCCACAAAAGGGCACATCTGAGTGTACTTTTTTTGGGTAAAGGATACCTGCATTTAAGGTGAAGGGAAAGCTTACGCAAACACCCTTGTATAGAGAGTGCGCATATACATGGTATTGGAAAGTGAAGCTAGAAAGGATTGAGTGTGAGTCCAGCCTGCACGTGTCCGTGGCTGTCACTTGCACATGTGTTGCCTATGCAGGGTTATTTAACCTATGGACAGTGCTGGTGGTATGTGTAAGAAATCCCTGCTGGAACCCACACGTTAGACCCAGAGACAAGGCTAATTAAAGGCAACATGCACTACCAAACAAGAACATTATGTTCCAGTGTAATAATAGTTAGGGGTAGGGCTTGGCAAGCCCCACTTCAGGCTTTCTAGGACCTGATAAGAAAGACATTACCCCAAGGAAGGCAGAATACGGTCCCTACCCGAGCATGTACTGACAGGCCACACTCTTCCTGATTTCAAAACTTACCTGAATCTTCCTGATTTCAAAACTTACTACAAAGCTACAGGAATCAAAACCGGGTGGTATTGGCACAAGAACGGACATACAGACCAATGGACTAGAATAGAGAGCGAGCCTAGAAACAAAGTCTCACATCAAAGGGCAAATAATTTGACAAGGGTGCCAAGACCATTCAATAGAGAAAGGACAGTTCCTTCAATAGATGGTGCTGGGAAATTTGAATATCCATATATGAAAGAATGAGGTTAGACTTTTACCTAAGATCATATTCAAAAACTACCTTGAAATGGATCAAAGACCTAAACAGAGCTAATACCGTAAAGCTCTTAGGAGAAAACACAGGGCAAAACCTTCATGACACTGAATTTAGCAATGATTTTTTGGACAGGACAACCAAGGCACAGGCAACCAAAGAAAAAGCCAAACCAGATTTCATGAAAATTGAGAACTTGTACAGAAGGACACTGTCAAGAGTGAACAGATAACTTCAAGAATGAGAGAAAATATTTGCAAATCCTGTATCTGATAAGGGATTAATATCTAGACTACATGGAGATGGAAGGGTTCGCTCCCCTCTGAAGGGCCTTACCAAAGGCACAAACGACAATAAGCCACTGTGGGCATCCAGCCGGGAGGGGTATCTAAGACTGTCCCCAGGAAGAGCCAGAGGGTGAATGACCTGCAGTGTGAGAAGCTTCCTTCAATTATCCTGGGCTTGGAAGTGGTTTTCTTCCTGCCATAAACCAGCCCAAATTCTGCATCCCTTCCTGTTGCCTCACGGCACCTCTGAGAGACTTAAGGTCAAAGTACAGAGAGAGTCTAGATCTGTCCAGGTGGAGAGAGCGGGTGTGCCCTGGAAAGTAGGTGGCTGACTTCTGCCCGGCAGGCAGCCCAGTGCCATTCTGAAGCTGCGAGCCATCACCACCGAGGTGGTGCGAGCTCCTAGCTCAAGCCTGATTTTTCAGCAGTGTCAGAGAGACAGAACTCTTGCAATCAGCCTGGCGGTCCCCACACAGAAAGTAGGTACTCTAACTCAGGCAGAAGGGAGACATGAAGGTCCATGAAAGACACAATTAGGGCAATGGATCTAGATTCAGTGTTGGCTACCTTGTTCTGTTCCTTCAGAAGAGACTGGAGTGGAAGGCCCAGAAGCAGGCTGCTTGTTAGAGTTGTGATTGTCATGTTTGCTAGCTCTTTAGTGACTGGTGTGTCATTGATTCCATGGCTGGAGGGAGTTGGGTAGATAATCAAGAATTCTTTTGATGTCTTAAGACGTTGTTGGAGATGGGGGTCTTCCCTAGTGGTCCCCACCGGCCACTATGGTCAGGGTCCTGGTGCCCTCCTAGGGACACTGACCAGGTGCGAGGGGCCAGCAGAGCCGGGTAGCACCTCCCTTCCCCGGCCTCTGGCAGCCACTCGTGCCCCTGGGCTGTGCGCTCACCTTCATCGCTGCAGCCCGGGCCCATGCAGGGCTGGAAGTCCTGGGTGTCAGGGCAGGGGACACTGAGGTCCAGCTGCGCCTTCAGCATGCGCTGCCGCATCCTCTTGCCTTTGTCACAGGTGGAGGAGCTGCAGGCGGACCACGGGGACCAGTTGGAGTAGATGCAGGTTTCGGGGGTGTCATCTGGAACAAGTACGTGACAAGTTTTCCCTGGGAGCCTGTGGACACTGGGGCTGGCCCTCTCCCCCACACAAGCTCATCTGCAAATAAGATCCCTGCTGCTTGACTTGCCTCAGCAAACCTGGGTACTCGTGGGGTGGAAGCAGCTACTCACTTGCCTTTACAAATTATAATCATTGCAATAATATCTAAACAACAGGGAAGATCTCTTACTATCCATTCCCCTCAACACGTGAAGAGCTTTTCATTTCTAGTCCCATCTTCCCAATGACCCTATAACAGGAGTCATGTAAGGGCAGCCAGTGTTCACGGAGTACTTACTACATGCCAACAGCATTCCGAGAATCTTACATGTTTTAGCCCATTTGATTCTTGCAATGACTCTCGATGAGGCAGGTTCGGTGATCATCCCCATTTTACACTAGGACACTGTGGTGGGATGGGAGCTTCTTGCCCAAGGCCACAGGAGGAGCCCCAGTTGTGTGGCTCCAGATCCCATGAGGACACAGGCTCTGCGCCTCCCTCCTGACGGTAGGCTCTGGGCCTCCCCTTCCTCGCTAGGGAAGTGGTTGTGTCCATGCATCACAGGACAGCATGACAAAGCAGAGAGCGCTGGGGATACTGAGACACCCATCCAAAGGCCCGATACCAGTGAACACATACTCCGATAGCCCACTTACACCAACTCCCTTATATCCTGTGCCCAGTCCTGGCCTTATTTTGGATGATCTTCCATGCAGAAGTCCTCAAAGATGGGATTGCCAAGTCAAAGGACATGAGGTTTTTGCAACTCTTCAAACCTGTTAGAAAGCTGCTTTCCCAAAAGGTATGGCCAGTTTATGTTGCTACCTGCAACGAAGGACAACTACATACCTTCATCTTTCTCTTCTGGAGCCAGATCTGCTACAATATCATCGACATTGTCGGGCACAATATTGCATTGTTCGCCCTGCAAAAGGAAGTTTTGCTTGGAGGGCTCACATTACAGAATGGCATATGTGGGGGACAGAGGAAGGAGGACATAAAAATCGGATGCCCACCCCGTGTACAAATCCCAGGCCATGGTGGAGTTTTGAGCCAACATTTACAATCGGACTGAAAGAAATGGCAAGAAAGCCACAGCTTCCTAGTTCCTGACCCATGGCAGACATTAGTAATCAACTGTGGAACTCACAATGAAACCTGTTTTTCTGGATCGCATCATTCAGGAGGGCACAGAACCTTACCTTTATGTTTATTTTGCTCATTTATAGCTTATGAATAATTTGCATGCTTAGCTTGGGAGGTCCAGGAGTTCTAGATTCTGGAATATGCAAGGGACCCCATGATTCTAGAGCAGAAAGGGGTACAGTCTGCTTACACTCCTGGTGGGAAGGGTCCGTGCCACGGTGAGCTCTACCCCATTACCTTCCGGGCGATTCTCTCGATGACAACTCTGGCCACTTGAGTGATAGACCCGCCCTCTGGATCGTAAAAAGGACTCTGAGGATGGTCCAGACTGGTCAGGGGCCGGATTTTCTCCTGGGGAATTGTGGGCTTGTTGGGTGACTGTGGGGGGTGGGGGAGAAACACAGATACAGAGTGTGGGAAATAAAGTGGTTAAAAACCACAACAGCAGTTTGATTGTAATAGGATCAGAACAAAAGCCATGATAGGGATTTCCCAACAGCTATAACTACTATGGATGTTTCTGCAATTCTGTCCGCCTTGTGCATCGTGCAAGGAAATGGGGGACCTGTACTTTCAGACTCTCCCAGGTACACAGGATTCCATCCTGATGAAGAAAAGGTTTCAGAGAGGTCATCCCAGCCAGGAGACAGCTGAACCAGGCTGGCCTGAATCCAGAGCTCTTCCTACTAGACCAGGCGTTGGCAAACGAGTCTGTAGAGGGTCAGATCGTAAATATTTCAAGGCTTTGTGGGCCATCCTGTGTCGGCTCCAACTCCACTCAGCTGTTGTCATGAGAAAGCAGCCCCCCGCAACATATAATTGGGGGCGGCTAGGTTTGAACCCCTTATTTACAGATCAGGTGGTAGTCCCAATTTGGGGCACAAACCATAGTTTACCAGTGTGTTCTAGATGGCCCTGCCGCTGGTTTTGCTAATGGCTTCACATGTCCATGCAGTTGGTGTGCTGACCACAGCTGAAAAATTTTAACATTCAGGACAGAATCCAAACTCCTTAACCTGGCTGGCTGTCTGGAAACCTCCAGAATCTGGCCCAGTCTAAAGTACGGACATCGACTTCTGTTCCCCATTCTCACCCCTTCTCTTGCTCTGTGCTTCCCTGCCTGTTTCCTGCTGTTCCCTGGCTTCCCTAGGAACTGCTCTTTAGCAGGTTCCCTCTCCGTGGCCTTGTGGCCAGCTGTGTGGGTCACACCGTATCTGGTCTGTGAAAGGGAGACGATGCTGGCCTGCCCGACCACACTGTGTGTTCATCTACATCATTTACGTCCAGGCCCCCCAGCGCGGGGCCAAAGAGGAAGCACCCAGGAAGGGTTGTCCGTCACCACTGCAGGTGCTCACCCACCTCATAGGTCACCCCGCTGTCAGTGCCAGCGTCCCAGGGGATCAGGTCCTGCACCACCTTCTGGACCCAGCCGCACTCCTTGGTGCACAGATCCTCTGCAGACAGGCCCACGTTCCAGTCGGGGCTGGGGCCCATCATGGTCAGGAAGGACATCAAGTGGCGCGTCCTGTCCACTGAAAATTCAGCCGAGGGTGCGGCTCTCCTGGAAACCAAACACATTACATCAGGGGCCGTGGGGGTGCACACTCTGAGGGACATCTGGCCAGACGATGGCCAAGGGAGGAGAGGACGGAAAGAAGGTGGATTCTTGGTCTTCCACGGATCTCTGCCTTTGGCCACGACTGGTTGACACCCTTTACTGTCCTGAGCCCCTCCACTGGTCACATGCGGAGAGAATCACCTGCTACCACACTATCCAGTTCCAATGCACTCAGAGCACTTACTGTTTCACGTATGCGTATTTAGCTGTTTACTGATGGTCAGCTGTCACTGGATGTGAGCTCTGGGAAAGCAGGGCTTTTGTCATTCTTATTACAGGGCTTGATTTCCAGTGCCTGGCACAGAGTAGATGCTCAGTAAAAGCGATTCAATAAATGGGTGAACAAATATCTTGTGTTACTGTAGCTGAACTCAAGCTCATCTGCCTGATGCCCAGCAAAGACAATCACTGAGACACGGCCTAGGCAGCCAGGAGAAGTTTCGAGAGGCAGCCAAACGGGGAGATGGGAGGGCAAGCCTCAAATCCACCTCCCCCCACCACCGCCCCCAGGAGGAGAGTCAGGGAAATTTGAAGGCAGATGAGAAAGGTCTGGGTTAAAAAGTTGCAGCTGAGCTTCCGAGTCTATAGCTGCGATCAGTCCCCTTATCCCTTTGGTTATGGGTTCTAATCCTCACTGTCCTTTGATCCTTCCTCATCCTTGAGGGAATGGGGATGGTGACCGCTCTGGTTACTTCCTGCTGAGATGAGGTGAGGACCAGAGTTAGAGGAATGGAAACTCTCTGCCCGCCATTCTGCATGACCGAGATTTGTGTACTTTGGTTGGTAGTGCGGGAACTCTGTTTTACCCAGGGCCTTCGGGGAGATTGGTCGGAACCAAGCTTCTTGTAGGCACAGGTTTCCTCAGACCAGCTCTCCTGATGAACAGTTTCAGGTCTGCCAGGGGCTGGCTGCGCCAAGCAGTGCTCCCTGCGAGGTCCTCCTTGCCTACAGGCTGTAGGAAGCCCGTGGATTCTCCTAACTCGAGCGCGAGGAATGCACAGCTTTCTTCCCTCCAGTCTCACTGAAGAATGGGTGGTCAGCAGCACCCAGCAAGGTCCTGCGCGGGGAGCCTGGAGCTGGCCTTCCGCGTGCTCGCTCTGCGGGTCTTCAGTGATCCCCAGTTCTCTGGGATTCCGGCGATGTAAGTGCACACCTGCGGGGCACGTCAGCCTGCTGGCAGTGAGCCTGCCCACTCAGTGTGCCTGATAATATCCAATTCCCTAATGGGAGCCCCGTCAGGAACCCCTAAGTCATGAAAGGGGTGTAGAAGGAGTCTTCTGTATAACAGAGGCTTAAATCAAGCCCACTCTGGGGGCCCACTCTTACCCAGAGCAGAGCAACCAGCAAGGCTTTTTCCCAAGTTAGTTTCCTAGCGTATCTTTGCCAATTTTTTTTTTTTTCCCCTCCAGTCGGTGGGAGGCTCCATTGACTGCCCAAGGTGTTGGGCACCACGTGGGTGACTTTTGCCACAAATGCTGCTCCACGGTCGTCTGAATTGTTAGCGGCGATCCAAACCTAGGAAGGATTTTGCTCAGAAGTGTTTTGACAAGTTCTGAGGCCTTCTCTGAAGGGCGTGCGAAAGCTTCAGCCCAACTTGTAAAGGGATCTATAAATACTGGCAAGTATTGAAAATTACCTGTAGTTTTAGCCTCATGGTAAAATCCACCTGTCAGTCTTGTCCAGGTTCAGAGCCTAAAACTTCCTAAGACATTAGACAAAGTTCTAAGGTGTGGGTTTCCTCCCCCTTTTGGACAGATTTTGCAATGGAGAGAATATGAACTTACCTGACTTTGAATCAACACAGGCAGAAAAGTTTTGTATTTAATGCTTTTAATTCTAAACACATGCCCATTTTAATTAAACCAGCAACCTTAAGTTAGCTTTAATCCTGAATAGTTTTCAAGATCATGTGAAAAACACTTGGGTTAGTTTCTGTCTTTGAGTTTTAGAATGGCCAATTATAACAAGCACTTCCTTTTTAACGGCCTAAATAAAGCTCTCGTACAAATTAATCTTAGCAACACCATGCAGACGTAGAGAAACTAGCTCACACTTAGAACACATATGGACACATACAAATACATCAACAAGGTGCAAATAGGATCTTAAAGGCCCAATTTCCAAATCTCTTTTATAACACAAATCTAATTGCAAGGTAGTATAATTTATGGGTCCATTAGGTGGTCATTTTTCTCAGGAGTCTAATGAATATGGCGGCTAAGCAGTGTTGCAAAAAAAATATTGCCCCGTTTTGGAGAATAGAGCCCAACGGGCTGCACGTGGGGATCAAATGGTCACTTCCCATTTTCCACTTAGAACATGGCCAGTTTTAGTCAAAGATCCCAAAAGCTGCTACAACAAACGAACCAAACGAAGCCCAGAGGCTGGCCTCTAAGGGCCTCGGTTCCTCCACAAAAGTCCAGGCTTCACTGATTGAACCAGATGGCTTCCTAGTTTCTAGCTCCTCCCTAAAAGTCAGAGCTCCACTGGCTGAACACAACCGTTTGCTAGTCAGCCTTGTCTTAAGAAAAGGAGGCTAAGAGAAGCAAAACCCTCTACTTGGAGGCAGGGGAGAGGAAGAAATCCAAGAAAGCCAAACCAAAAGGGAGGAAGAAATAAGCTCCTTGCCGCCACGCACGAAGTACTCACCCAGACCCCTCTGTCCAAACCAGACCCCAAAGCCATTGCCCGGCTGCAGGAGTGAATTTAGGTGCTGAACGTTGGTGGGGCCCTGAGGACAGGCCCCAGGACAAAGAGCCTAGGCAACTTCTCAGGTCAACAGGCTCCCGTTACCAGCTGGGGGCCAACAAACCAGGGGCACAAAGCTCCTGCCGGGCTCCCTGTGTTTGCATGCAAACCCAAGGTCATCTGCCTAGTGCTCAGCAAAGACCGTCACTGTGAGACACCGAGTAGGCAGCCACATGAAGAGACCGGACACCAAACCTCAGATCCACTTCCTCCAAGGAGCAGAGTCAGGGAAATTTAAAGGCAACTGAAAAAGGTCTGGGTAAAAAGAGCTGCCCCTGCGTGCTTACTGGTCTGCAGCTGAGGGCGGTCCCATTAACCCTTTGCTGGCGTCGCGGTGTGCCCAGCTGTGTTGGATGGAAGGCGAACTTTACAAATAACAGCTGTACAATCCCCCGAGCCCCTGCTCAGACATTCTCACTGAATCCCCAGAACTGACCTGAGAGAAGAATGAGTGACTCCAACTTAAGGATGAGGAAACCCAGGCTTAGAGGGTTTTGTTTATATAACGGGTCCAAAGTCACAAAGTTAAATGGCAGACGGAGACCTTGACCCAAGGCAATATAAGCTCAAGATCAGTGTTCTTTTCATCATCAGTTTCAAATTCCTTCTCCCTGCCGCCTTTTCACTCTACTGAGATCTACGTTGTGCCATCGGAGGGGGTGTCTCCGTGGCCTGCTCACTCTGTTGTCCTCACGGGGCTGCCTCCAGCAAGGCCCTGTGGTCCCAGAGCTCCCCCGGGGACTCACATGCTTCCCTGGCCACATCCTCCAGGTGGTGAGCAGGTACCCAGCTATAGCAGCACAGACCTTTGCCTGACCACCCCCAAGCCACAAGAGGTGATTGTCTTCAACCTCTGTCTCAAGTTGCTAAGAAGAGGTCTTTTTTTTTTTTTTTAAAGATTTTATTTATTTATTTGAGAGACAGAATGAGATAGAGAGAGCGAGCACGGGAGGGAAGAGGGTCAGAGGGAGAAGCAGACTCCCCGCTGAGCAGGGAGCCCGATGCGGGACTCGATCCCGGGACTCCAGGATCATGACCTGAGCCGAAGGCAGTCGCCCAACCAACTGAGCCACCCAGGTGCCCGCTAAGAAGAGGTCTTACGTATGGCCAGGGCTGGGTGAGTCAGTGGTGGTGGCCCCTCCCCCCCGGGGGGGGGCTGGGGAAGAAAGCGTTCTATTCACTCAGCACACACTTGGTGGCAGGCCTCAGTTATTTTATTTCCCCACCCCCATGACAATCCCGTGGGGTTAGAGTTATTCCGTTTTGTAGAGAAGAAAGCAAGCAATAGAGAAGAAGAGTTATCCCGTTTTGTAGAGAAGAACCTATAAAGGTTAATGGACCTAGAGACACAGCTGGTAGGGGCTGAGGTTTAAAAGCAGCTCCACCTGACTCTACACCCCCAGGCCACTCATCGTTGGGGAAACCTTGGCTGGGGACCAACTCGTCTGTTCAGTTCAGCTGGCAGCCGGTCCACCTCGGCTGTCCGGGGGTCCCTGTGTGCCTCTCTGGAGACCGGCTGCTCTGGCTGCCCTGTCCCCAAAAGCAATGACCCCAGCCCTGGTTAGGCCTCGTGGAACTGGACCCCCTGGGCTCTGGCAGGCCGGATGGGGTCAGACAATGAGCAGAGAGGGACGGAAGCCTGGGTGTGTGTCCTGGAACGCTACCTCTTACAGCTGCGATTCCTTGGGCAAACGACCAAAGCATTCAGTGCCTCAGTGTCCCAGTCTGTGAAATGGGGACCTCCCTATGGCTACACGAAAGTTTTAGGGTGTGTAATGAGAGAACTTGCATCCGGTACTTAGTCCAGTGCCTGGCCCTTGAGCTATGAGTACTCTGTCGAGACAGAAGCAGTGTAGGGTCATACAGAGCTCCGAAAAGAGAGGGAGGTGGAGGGAGGCCTTCCCGAGGAGACTTTACGTTGTAGCCTGCTGCCACTCTGTGTTCTGACCCAGGAGTGCAGGAAGAGCCTGTGCCCCGGCTGCCTTTGGCGTCAGCAGCTCAGCAAGGCCTGGTGTTGCCTTCGTCTGAATCCTCTTGCCTCCTCCCCTCCCCGGTGCCCTGGTCAGGCCAGCCGCAGGGCTGGTCCCACGTGCACTTGCCGCTGCTGGGAAAGCCCGTCTTCAGTGGCGGGCACAGTGTGGTCCCCTGGCAACTTGTTAGAAATGCAAATTATTGTGCCCCACCGCAGATTTACT